CGAATTCTGGAACTCACCCCTGCCCTCACCACATTAACAAATCACAATAGATATATAATAGACTCTGGAAATGAAGATGGCCTCTTTAGGATCAATCAGAAGGAAGGAGTTAGCTACCTTCACCTGGCCAAGAAGAAACCTCAAGCAGGTGTTTACTCCCTACAGATTAGCAGTGTTCCTCTCTATAAGGAGAAAGAGCTTATCCAGCTTGAAGACAGACATGACAGAGACTACCTCAGTGGTGAACTGGGTGACATTCTTAAAATGAAGATAAAAATTCTACTCCATTAATTCACCGAACAAAGACCAACGAAATGAAACCAAAGATCGATAGGTAGACATGAATGTTTTCCCCTCACTGATTTCCCATAGGATAGGTACAAATCCTCATAAATATTTTTCTATGAATTTAAAAAAGCACTTTCTTCTCATGACATATGCAAGGTACAGGACCAATACCCCAGCTCAATACAACCACTGTCTCAGGCTTCTTATATAGTATGTAACTGAGCTGCCTTGATATGCTCAATACAATGAATTTAAACTTGGGAACACTTCATTGGACGTTGACCATTGATGCTGATACATCCAATCCTTTCAGCAGAGGTACATGCATTTACGCTCCTGATGGACTTCTCCGGTTTATTTGCTTTTCCACCTACATCTTCTTTAAGACCTTTATGATAACATTTTTGGTGCTAGTCATTTTTTTATTTTTTTTAAAGAATTTTTATAAATGCACTGTAATATTTACACACATTAAAAGCCAACCATTACTCAGTCTTTCATTTACCAAAAGAACACCACCAAAGTTAGCTCTAGTTTATCTCAGTTATCGTTTGATATGTCATGTAAATGACGTGTGTGTATACTGTATCCATGCAATTATTTATCCTTGAAGCATTTGTTAAACTAGTTGAGAACTCTTAAAGAGAAGGGTTTTTGATGGTGCTTATAAATACCAACTACTTGTTAAATGTATACACAAACCTAGTGGTGCAATTTTTATAGCTAGGTTAACGCACTGAGGTCGTTTGACCATACAGGTTTATCAGATACAGTTTCAGTGCCATCCACAAAATATGACATGCATTGCACATGAAGAGTACCCAGAGTCATTTTAACAAAAAGGCTCTGTGTCATAAATGTCACATTTTAAAACAATGTTTGTAATATTTAATTCCTTTATTTTCTGGACCAACCCAATGTAGTTCGGTTACAACATGCTTACTGTTATTGTACAATAAACTATTACTGTATATGTAGTGTAAACATTGATGGATAGGAGGAAGAGCAAGACTTTCTTGTTATGTCCTGTGGTACTCAATTTTCCATACGTAAGAAAAATACAACTTGTCTTTCATATGTGTAAAGAAGTAACGATCCAATAAATCTACAAAATAAATCAGCAGCCAATTTTACTGCTGTGACTGTTTAAACGAGAATGTCTGATGTAAATTCTTGACTATACCTTGGATTGGTATTTTATTGTCAGACACATAGGAAGTAGGTAATGACTAATACCCACACAATATTATACAGTGTTCCTGATGTCCTGTGTGGGGTAGATACTTTAAATATATTACACACGAAACTACGGCATTTCATCCAGTGGGATTTTCACATTTTGGTTACGAGAATACCAAAGAAAGTGAAAGTGCACACAAAGTGAAACAATATATAAAGGAATTACCCTTCCTTGTTATGGGTATGTAATTCGAGGGTACAACTTGATATCTAAGAAAGAGAGAAGCTTCTCATAGTGTTTTATGTTTTACAATTTTAAGTGTACACATGTTTACTGGTTACACTCACTGTTTATGGAGCCAGCTATATCGGCTCTATTTGATAGTAGTGGGTTGGCAGTATGTCAGTCGGCCATCAATTTGGGGAAGTGATCAGTATTTCCATCTGTAAGTGTCTTCTGAATTTTCCCCAATATTCCAATGTAGGTTATGAGGTGAGACACAGACAGTAACCTGTTAAAATCGAGTATAGTGAATTTATTAAACAATATATATAAAATCTTACATGTATGCTTAAAATTATCCACATAAGCACAAGCACAACGCGTTTAGAGCTGAGTCTTCGTTAAGGTGCATAACCATTTGTTACGAGTCTATAAAATAAAGAGAAACAACAAATTATTATTTTTTTTAAAGGACTTAGCATATGTCAACAGAAATGCTTAAAAATAATACCTTGATCGTTTTTTGTTGTTGCATGAAGCACAGATTTTAATTCTATGTTCTGGCCTCTGTTGTGTCTAATCATTAAATTCATGAAGCGCCAATATCAAAAAGCAATAATCAATTACCTTAAGGGTTTTAAAGCTATTGGTGGACACCAAAACCTTATTCGGGATGTATGAATTGAGTACTTGAGAAAGGGAAAGACACTGACATCAAGTACTTGTCAATAATCAATACAAACTTTATTTACTAACAAAGACTTAATTAATAATCATTCAGCGTAAAATTCAGCTTAAAGGAACAGCTCAAAGAAACAGCTTAATAAAAATATCTCAAGTATACATCACCATAAGAGAGGCTTGCTGCACTCAACTGAGAGAACTTCTGGCAGTCAGGCTTGAAGAGGACCCTCTCTTACTAAGAATCAGTAGAACCAGCAATACGCGTCCGTATTACAGGTGGGTAGTACTCCAAGTGAGTGCCAGGTTTTCTAATCTTTTATAAGAAACTTAATAATCAAAGGGGTGAATAGTCTGTACTTTTCCACCAAATCTTCTTATCAGTGCAGCCCAGCAAAGACCTTGCAAAAGCGCTAGATGGGACCTGCAGCTGGCCAGACTTTCAGTCCCACAACAATGCCATGCCAGATCTGTGCGGTTAATATTCTCTTATCTAAAAACTAGCTACGTTCTCATAATATTCTCGTGAAGCTATGCAAGAGTCATCCTGGTGCTGTGTTTTGTGGTTATTATCATTTTGAGCACTGTGTACTGGCGGCATCTTAACTATCTATAATAGTTTATAGTTTAATTTGCTCAATAGTGATCAGTCATTCTTAATTAATATGGAATATTAGCACAGCCTCCCTCCATTTTTTGGAGAGTTTCTATACACACTTTATTGGCTCAGTCTTTTTTCCTTATTGTGTGAGATATGCAAACTGGAACCATAATGCTGACGCATATTTGACTATGGCTAGCTGGACAAAACAGAAATGGTGCACAAATAGCATTGTCTCGGGGGTTAAATCATCTTGAAGTGCCTCAGCCACCATGCTCTATATAGTCACATGTTTCTGAAGCCAGTATTGACTACCTAGCAAGTACATGATATCAGCATGTTCAGTAGGCAGGTTCTATAACAAAGAGGGGGCAAGCTGATTTTGCTGCATCCCTTTCCCAGAAGTCACATATAGCATTCACATTATTTTAAGTTCTGGTATTAAACTATGAGCAATATAGTCTAATTTAGTAGTGTTATTATATTTCAATTAAGGGCCCACATTGCGATCTAAATAATTCTCTGTGGTTAATCCCTTAATGTTGAAAATCAGATATCTAGAAGTATTTGTTAAATCACCTTTTTTAATACAGATATTGATTCTTGTTTTAGCTAGCCTTGCAAACATCTTTATTTTGTTATAATTATTATACTCTTTAAAAATCACACCAGTGACTTAATGAGAGCAGTCTATGCACCGTAACCTCTACAGTCCACTACGTTGGTTATGGTTGCCTGGGGTCTTCTGGTGCCATCCCATGATAAGCAGTCAAACTGTTTTCTAATGGTTTGACCCATATATGTTTTTTCCCAGGTCATTCTTTGAGGTAAGACTAAAGAAGGTTCTCCATATTTGAACAATTCGGTGATGTGCTAATGGTGGTTGGGGGGGGGGAGTCTGCCTAAGGTACAGGCAGCAGAGTAGGTTTTTCAGGGAGCTGCAAGGATCACTGTAAAATCCACCTTTTTTGCATACCCTGCACTGATGCTGAGAGTCATGATGTGACATCAAACCAGCCCTGGTATCAGTAGACAACTGCAGCAAGCTGTGCATTTAGTGCACAGAGTGATCCCAGGAGATCCTCACTGGACGACAGAGGTGAGGCTCCACTCTAGCTCTCCCCAGTCAAAGGTAAGTAAAGGGAGGCTGGGTGGATCAAATTATAATAAAATATAAATACATTAATAAAAATCTAATGCGTGTGTGAAATTAAAAGAGAGAGAGAGTGTGTGTATGTATGTGTATGTGCATGTACTTTTCCTGTGTGTGTCTGTATGTGTATGTGCATGTATGTGCATGTACTTTTCCTAACAAAAGGAGGTTATGGGCGGTGCAGAGTGACAACAAAATTCTACAGTTCATGGGGATGGGTGTCAATCTAGATTTCTGTCCGGTAGCCAGGTAACCTACGTACACCTGTGAATTAATTTACACACTCTACCAATGGATTCCGGCCATTTAACAGAAATGGGACTGCACATTTGGTTGTCACGCTATATCAATAGCAGTCCTCTCCTTTGGTTAGTGCACCTGAACCAGAGGATGACAAACCTCCAAAATCACAATTGCAATCTCAAACAGAAATATATACCCAAAACCTGCTACATTCATTGGTTAATGCGATTTTTGATTTCTACATAATCAAATAAATATACAATTAGAATTTTGCAGTTCACCTTTTGTGACCAGATCTCAATTTCTTGAACAGAAGAATGAAAAAAATGCCACTTTGGGTGCACTAAAGTCATGTGATCATTTCATATTTTGACAAAGACCAGAAATAGTCCAAAACTAATCAAAAACAACAAATACACTCAACCACCCGTGAACAAAGTGATCTGTGTAAAATGTATCAAAAACAAAACAACTTATAGGTACACTGCTTCCCAAGGTTATTTCCCAGCTGATAACCATATAGCAAAACTGTGTAAATGATAGGATATTTAGGGATTCTGCTAGTGTACCTGCAATAGAGGATAAAACATAGTGCAAATATTGTTTTATACTTTAAAATAATATAATGATTTGTATGCACTCACAAATTCCAAATGGGTAAAGCGTATTATGTGTGCCTCCCCCATATGGCACCCATAATACGCTTTACCCATTTGGAATTTGTGAGTGCATACAAATCATTATATTATTTTAAAGTATAAAACAATATTTGCACTATGTTTTATCCTCTATTGCAGGTACACTAGCAGAATCCCTAAATATCCTATCATTTACACAGCAAAACTAATCAAAGCCTTTTTTGGGCAAAATCAGGAAAAAAACTGAGCGCATACTATCATACAATTTATATCAAGACTCCAAAAAGACTACTTCTAGGGAGTCAGGCTTGGGATAGCAGGGCTAAAAATGGAAACACGTTTGTACTAGGGTTAAAAATAACATTAAACAAGGAGGTCATATGACCACAGCTATTAAAAAGACTTGGAATGGTCACATGACTTTAGTATGCCCACAGTTGTGCTCTTTTCCCCCCATTCTTCTGTTCAGGAAATGGAGATCGGGGCAAAGAGGTGAGCTGCAGGATTATAATTGTAAATCTATTTGTTTATGTAAAGCTGATTTTATTAAAGGACACGGAGGCTCCTATTATGCTTCTCTCTTTCTTTTATTCTTCAGCAGCAAAAGAAATATAGTATATATATTCAATGCAAAAAGGGAAAAAACAATTCAATAACACCACATCATACTTCTAAAGGGTTAATCAAATACCACATATGAACCAATCAGAGTGTCCCCATTACCACAAAGTCCCATGTGACCCTAAGCCACTCCTCTTTCTTTTGCTGCTGCAGCCTCAGATAAGTAAAAAAAAAAATTCTCCTTCCTCTGTTGCTGTCAGTTACTAGCTTGGTTTTTCAGTAAATTTGTCTTTAAATGTTTTCTTTTTCCCCTCAGGGTTTATTGTGTATTTTTTCCTTGTTTTAGTTCAGTCTTTTGGGTCTTTGCCCTCATTGGTTTCCCCTCTCTATCTTCCCTGCCTCCCCCCCCCCCTCCTACCTCCGGTCGGTTTGTTTATTTCCCGACCGTTTGTGTCTCCTCTTGCCGCCCTCTCCCCTTTGGGGTTTCTCCCCCCACGCACGGGTACCGCTGCCGGTCGCGGTCCCGGCGGCCCACGGTAATTGCGGTCGCGGCGGCCATCTTGGGGAAGGGCAGTTTTGCCGCGCTTTTGCTAGCGCGGCCAATACTGTGTTTTGGGGGCGGGAATTACTCCCTGTCGTCGGGCAAACTCTCCCTGTGTTCCCCAGGAGCTTATTCCTGAGGGAACACTCGGTGAGCTTGCTGCAATTGTGATTTTCTTTATATCTTTTTCTGTTGTGCCTTGCCCACATTGGTGTCTGGTGCCTGATAACATATATATATATATACTTTGAGCATTACTGTTGTTGGGGGTTAGTCACTTTATTACCTGTGCTAGGGTTGTCAGTCTCAGCCTTGCCTATATCATTTTCTGCCATCCATCCCAAACATGCAGGCTGACCACAGTGCTTATAGTGCCACTACATCTAGGGCCACCATGCCCACCCCTCCCCTACAGGGCCCCAAAATGCCCACTGCGTTGGACACAGCGCAGGAGCATATGGATTCAGAGGAATTGCATTCCCTCTTAGACGCGGCTATGGCGAAGTCTGTAACGCAGGCCATAGTTACTGCCATGGGTGCCATGTCAGAGAATTTATCCCATTCCATAACTACGGCGATGAGAGCCACGCAATTACCTGCTAACCCCATGGCTAACCCCCCAGAGAATAAGCCGGTGGCCCCTAGTGGGCGTAAGGCCGCTAAAAAATCTCGTCATTTGGACGATTATGCCTCCAAAACCCTACAGACGGACAGGGCACGTCCTGTCACAGAACCTGTGGTTGGACCACAACTAAGAGCCCCCCACCGGGCAAAATCGGTGAGGAAATGGAAGAGGGCTAAAGCCCTACTGGAATCCTCCGACTCTGAATCGGAGCTAGAGGAGGCTCAGAGCGAGTCCGAAGAGGAGGACTCTGATGATTATGATGTGGACTCTACTGAGGCTCACTTGCGGGACTATAGCTCAGCCACGGGCACGGACATGGACCATAAGAACAGAGCTGACGACTCAGCTTTGGTTGACCCGCAGGGCGAACCTTTGTTCGACCCGGATACCTTACAGCACCCGAGGTCCTCTGAGTGGTACCCTCTGGACCACGTAGCGAAATATATTGCTGCCCGCATCAGAAAGCCACTGGATAAGGTGGCGCGGAACAAGCTGCAGGCAGAGTGCCCACGCCCCACGGTCCCGGATATGGCATGCGCCACCCCGGAAGTGGACCCAAAAATCGCCCAATTTCTGGGCAAATCTGGCTGGAAGGCCAAGAAGGGCCTGGACTTTGCCTGGCGTAATTGCCAGGATAAGGTATTGGACATCCTTGGCCCGATCGCGAGGATGTTCGATATGGTCGAAATCGTGTTGGCAGGGGGTACACCGCTGGACCTAGAAGCCCTTTGGGGGTGGATCCTGCGTGCCGTGTGTCTCCTGGGCAACGCGAATACGGCAGTGGCCACGGAAAGGCGCAAGGCAATTTTAATAAAAATTGAGCCTAAACTAGTTAATCTGGCAATCTCAGAACCAGGTCCCCAGGCTAAAGCCCTCTTATTCGGGGATAACTTTGTGAAAGAACTAGGCACGTATGTGGGCACCTTTACGGCACTTGATAAGGCTCAGGCCAGCATGAAATGAGTGTTCCACCAGAGGGTTTTTGGCGGGGCCGGCAGAAATCGGGGCCGTCTGCCCGGCCGCTCGCCCCGGGGCTCGTACCGGGGCTCTCGTGGCTCCGTACAACCTCGATTCACACCCCCGGAACCCAAGCAAGCCTCACCGTTTTTCCCGGTTCGAAGCAGACCATGGCACACCCGAGGATCCAGAGGCTCTTCATATGGCCGACGGCCTTATGGTAAGTGCGCTACCTCCTCATATGTCTGCATTAACTATGGTGGGGGGCAGACTGGGCCATTTTGTCAAAGCATGGCACATGATCACGGCAGATGCCTGGGTGCTCGAGTGCTTATAGTGCTGTATTTGTTCTCTCGCTATAGTGTGTAGGAAGGTGTGCCTTTGGTCTGGGAAAAGGGCTGCCATTTGTCGTATTGTGCCTGTGGGTTATTCTATAGACTTCGTACAATACCCAGTCCAATTGGAACCCCCTGGCCAAATGGTGTTCCCCACACGGGACCGGGAGTTGATAACTCAAGAGGTCCAGGCCTTGGCCTCAAAAGGGGCAATCTATACGGTTCCCTCTACCACACCGGGTTTCCTGAGCAACCTATTCTTGGTACCCAAAAAAGGCGGAGGCGTCCGCCCAGTCATCAACTTGAGACCTTTAAACATGTTTGTCACATACCACCATTTCAAGATGGAAGGTATACACTCCCTATGGGACCTCCTCCTCACAGGGGACTGGATGGTCAAACTCGATTTGAAGGACGCATACCTCACGGTCCCAATGGCCGACGACTGCCACCACTTCCTGCAATTCCGCTGGGAAGGGAACGTGTGGCGATTCCAATGCCTACCGTTCGGCCTTTCGTCGGCTCCCTGGTGCTTCACAAAGCTCATGAAACCAGTGGTGGCCCTCCTACGCAGCAGGGGCATACGGCTCATAATATACCTGGACGATATCCTCATCATGGCCCAGGACCCGCTTCTGTTGCAAGAACACCTCTCCTGGACGAGGAACCTGTTAGAAAACCTGGGTTTTTCTGATCAACTGGGAGAAGTCGGTCATCGAACCCTCGCAGGCTATAGAATTTCTGGGATTCACCATAAACGCAGTGACCGGAACGCTCCTACTCCCAGCAACCAAGGTCAAGGCCATCAAAAAGGAGCTCAGGAGGACGCTCACACGTCCTGTCCTTACTTTGAGACAGCTGGCCAGGATTGTAGGCCTCCTCTCGGCGTCAATTCAGGCCATTTTCCCCGGACCCCTACATTACAGAGCACTTCAACGGTTGAAGGCAAAATACCTTCGTTTGGGGCACTCATACTCCGACTCTGTTCCTCTCGACTGTGCCGCCAAAGAGGAAATCAAATGGTGGCTACAACACATGGAAGCCTGGAATGGCCGCGCGATCTTCGGAACGGCCCCAGACCTCGTAGTCGAATCCGATGCCAGTTTGCTCGGTTGGGGTGCGCGCTGCGGACCTTTCTCCACCGGAGGAAGATGGTCCAGGGAGGACAGGGACTTCATATCAATTGCCTCGAACTGTTAGCAGGTTCGTTTGCTTTACGGAGTCTCTTGAACGTGTCGACCAACTGCTCCATCCTGTTACGCATGGACAACGTGTCCACAGTTCGATATATCAATCACCTCGGGGGCACGAGGTCAGCAATGCTTGCGGAATTGGCGAAGGATTTCTGGCAGTTCTGCCTGGACCGCAACATATCAGTGCAAGCGGAACACATCCCGGGGATGGGCAACGTAGTAGCGGACTGGAACTCCAGACATCTATGGGATGCCAGCGACTGGCGGCTGAACCCGGCCATTTTCAGCCATTTACACTCACTGTGGGGGCCGCTGGACATCGACCTGTTCGCGTCACGGCTGAACACGCAGTTGCCGAAGTTTTTCAGCTGGAGGCCAGATCCGGAAGCTCTGGCGGCAGACGCTTTCCGACAACCGTGGCCGCACACCAGGCATTACGCTTTCCCCCCCTTTTCTCTCATCGCACGGACCTTGCTGCACCTCAGACGACACCGGACATCCCTAATCCTCGTATCTCCTTTCTGGACGTCCCAACCCTGGTTCCCTACACTTCTAGAACTGTCCATAGATCTACCGAGATTACTGCCAGTACACGACAACATCCTCTTGGATCCCTATGGCAATCCACACCCTCTCATACTACAGGGACATCTCAAGCTTTTGGCATGGCTCCTTTCAGGGGACTCGAGGACACCCGAAATGTTCCACAAACGACTCTGGACCTCCTGGCAGGAGCTTGGGCCCCTGGCACAAGGAAATCATATTTACATGCCTGGAACGCATGGTATGGTTGGTGCGTTGAACAACACGTGGATCCCATATCTGCAACTGTGAGTCACGTCCTGGGTTTCCTTACTTCACTTTTCGACCACGGCCAGGCATATCGTACAATTAATCTCTACAGATCAGCTATCTCAGCAGGCCATGTAGGTTGGAATGGAATTCAAACAGGGAAACACCCGATGGTGTGTCGACTCCTACGATGCATAAGATTTTCACGACCACCACGACCTCGGTATTCCGAGTTATGGGATATGAACCTCGTTCTCCGACTTTTTGAAAGTTGGCCGCAGAATGGAGATTTGTCGATCAAACAACTCACCGCGAAATTGGCCACTCTGTTCTGCCTCATCTCCTGTAAACGGGTCTCAGATGTACGAGCATTGGACATTCAGGCATGCTCATATACACCGGAAGGGGTGGCCTTTGATATATCGAGGCGTAGGAAAACGTCCATCACTAAGGTTTTTTACCCCGCTTTTCCACACAACAGTAACTTATGCCCAGTAACCTGCCTTAAGGAGTATGAAGCAAGGACGGCTGCGGTCCGAGACCCTCAATGGGCGGACCTATTCCTGGCCATTCGACAACCGCATCGTCCGGTTTCTACAGTCACCCTATCTCGCTGGGTCAAATGGATCATGACGTCGGCAGGCATTGATACTTCCACATATGGAGCACACTCAGTGAGGGGTGCGATGGCATCAAAAGCGTTTTCATTAGGCTGTAAATTGGAAGATCTCCTCCGAGCTGCCGATTGGTCGAGAGAATCTACATTCCGTGAATTTTATTTCCGTCCAGTTTCCCATTTTTCCACGTCGGTGATCACACAGCTTTGAACTAGCATAATAGGAGCCTCCGTGTCCTTTAATAAAATTACCAGATTTTACTAATTTCATGACGTAAAGTCATGATTTTATAAAGGACACGGAGGCGAGTATTATCCCACCCACGAGAGGCAAGTTGCCCGCCTCTGGGAATATAATACATGTTATGGAAATGGAACCGTGTAATAATGTGCTATCTTATTGCTTTTGAATGACTAACTTGAGAATGATGTTGTGCTAGTTAGTTTGGATTATGAACGTGGAAAAATACTATCCAAGAACATATTTTACCATCTCGTTTCTCTGTTTTGCAGCTTCCTAATTGGAGTGCCATAATGGTTTCAGGCATGCCCACAAGTGTGTGGATGGAAGATGACCAGTTTCTTACGGATTTGTTGAGTTTTCGTCTGACGTCATCTTCTATTGGATTCGCTGTTTTTTCTTTACACGTCCACTGTTTGGAATTTTCACTGCTGAATTTTGGAGTGTCCATCAACAACAACAAAAGAAAGAGGAGTGGCTTAGGGTCACATGGGACTTTGTGGTAATGGGGACACTCTGATTGGTTCATATGTGGTATCTGATTAACCCTTTAGAAGTATGATGTGGTGTTATTGAATTGTTTTTTTCCCTTTTTGCATTGAATATATATACTATATTTCTTTTGCTGCTGAAGAATAAAAGAAAGAGAGAAGCATAATAGGAGCCTCCGTGTCCTTTATAAAATCATGACTTTACGTCATGAAATTAGTAAAATCTGGTAATTATCCAGTGGTGTCTCAAAAATAACACAATTTAAAGGAGTAATATTTACAGTCTTTCTTTCATATGATCACAGGACTGAACACAAACAGATGTGGCTGGCTGTTGGTTTGAGGTGCAAACCTAGGAAGGAAACGAGTGCAGCATGGGTTCAGCCATGCCAAATATATTTTTGGTTGGGAAAAGGGAACACCTTTCATCTACTGCACATGAACATTTCAACCATCTTGAAAACAGACACATCTACTTATTCCTCAGTATTAGGATAACATGACAGAGTTCCTGTAATGGTTCATGAATGTAATCTCATACTAGACCCCCAAAGTATTCATTGCACGATTCAAATAAATATTGCACTACATCAAAACAAAAATAACTTGGCTTTAAAGTAAATATAAAATTAAAATAAATAAGTAAAATTTAATTAACTGGCTTACAAACCAAATACATATTTTAGTAAATTAAGCTTTTATTAGATTCATCTTCCATTATGCCCAGTGACACATAGATACAAAAAACACAGAACCGTGAAAAGAAAATACTCCAAACTTGATCTTGTCCAAGCAGCACTGTGTGATAAACATTATATGACAACCAACGGATTGACAACATTGAAATGTACAAATTGAAAAATATATGGGTTGCATGGGAAAACATAAAGAATGAATTATTAAAACCTGCATGTGTCGTTAACTAATTTGTGGTAAATCTAAGTGTAAAGTGAAAATCCAGGAAAACAAGCCTCTCTTTGCAAGAAATATTGCCTCTCATTGGTGCTTCTACATTGTCATTTCTGAAAAGTGCGTGACTTATAGCTAATGGAAACCTGTCAAAGCATATTTAATTTGGCAAAGCAAAAGTATAGCAGTCCAACTAAAAATGCTTTGTTTAAGGGATTAAGAAAACATTTTAAAACTGTGTAAAATGATATGAGACAAATTGTACATTTGTTTTAAGGAAAAAAATTAAATAAAGCCCACATGAAAATCTACAGGGTTATTAAGTAAACTGTGATTTCATCAGGGAATATCACGTTGTAGGCCGAGCAGTCATGCAAGAATTACAGATGTGCTGGAGAATATTTCCAATTTTTGATAATTTGGTCTAAAATGTGGAACGCCTTAGCAAATTCCAAATAATCCCATGATTAGAAAAAAAATCCTGCAATTCTTTTTGTGTCGTATGGTCATAAGAAATATTTACATTAAAAAAAAAACATAAGATTTGATAACTATTTTATGTCTCAGAGCAGCTTTTATGCACAGAACAACACCACCGCTTCACCAAATGGAACTGTAACCTAACTCAATGCACCAGAAAAATAATCTTTCAATTGGATGGTGGGAGTTACTTTTAAAGTGCGATTGTGAAGATCAAAATGTAGAATGGCCAAATGGAATATTTTCAGACATTAATGATAGCTCCACTTCTATAACTTTGTTGTAACTCTCATTATATTTTTTTCTATATTGCATACAGTCAGTGTGATCGTAAAATATTAGAGCATACGTTATCTCTTCATTAATACAATATTTCTAATACTAACACTATTTCAGAGTACTGGTATTAAAGACAAAATTGTGTCATCCTGATCCAACTGAAGACCAACAAAGTCCAATCATGCTTTCATCCTGCAGCCCCTCAGACATGGTACCTAAAAAGTGTTTACATTAATCGATATAACCTAAAGAACTATTATATATATTTGATTTAACCCCTTAAGGACACATGACGGAAACATTCCGTCATGATTCCGTTTTATTCCAGAAGTTGTGTCCTTAAGGGGTTAATAGTTCAGTTTGCTCAGTGGTGTTTAGAGGTATTAGAGAATCGCTTTCTTTGTATATAACCTCACGTATGACCTTGTACTTCCTTCAGTCCTGTAGAACATAGAAAAAAATAGATTTAGGAGGAACAATTATTAAGGCTGTCAGGTCATGGTGGTAAAAACGATGGATGGGATGAGAATCTCACCACTTGTAAGGCTGACAAACTTTTATTTATTTTTTTAAGCTACAGGTCCAATTTGAAGCTTTAACCCATAAAATATTGCATGTTAAATAAACTAAAAGCAGTGAGTCACTGAATCATGTTAAATACAGCTCTGTAACGCACAATATATTTATTAACAATAATACTTTGGGACTAACTTGGCAGAATTTTAAAATGAAACCACATAAATACTGGCGATATAAACCATTCTTGTGCAATTGGTTAGTAAGAAACAGATGGAAATTGCAATTTCAGTAAGAAGAAATGATTTTTAATTCTGTGATCAATAATTTGAGACTTAATTAATTCAGAGATGCAGAGTAAAGCATACATTTCATAGTATAGCAATATTTAGGTCAACAAATACTTCCTGTTAAGTTGTCAAAAATTTAAAATTTTCCCTAAA